CCTCATTGTTCCCTTGGATTTTGAATGGACTTGATGACTGCTGTTCTTTCTCTCTATTGAGTATTCTCAGGAAGGGACACTATTTGTGCCAGTATTTTGAAATGTTTGCTTGAGGAGCACTTATGAAATTAGACTGAGGGTTGAATGAACTTCTTGGGTGATAGATTTTCACCCCTAACTCTAATAATTCTGAATTTGTAGTAGCAAAGCTCTGAAAGGCATATTTGCTTTTGTGCCACATTTCTCTCAACTTAAATAACTATCCTGGAAACTATTAGTTATGAGAGAAAAGAGATACCAATATTTTTTTCTCCAATTGGGTACATTTTTATACTGAAGAGAAATCATTATGGCATGTTAAATATCAACAATAGAACTCCATTTAACATTTGGACTGAAAATTCTTCTACACAGATTTTAGTATAAATCATTTGGCTTAGCATTAAAACTATAGTCCCGTTAGCTAGATCAACAGCAATAATACATAGACTTATATACCACTTCATAGTGCTTTACAGCCCTCTCTAAGCAGTTTACAGAGTCAGCCTATTGCCCCCAACAATCTGAGTTCTCATTTCACTGACCTTGGAAGGATGAGAAAAGTACATATATGAAAGATTCTGAAACTAGTTGAAATGCACATACATACAGATGCTAATATCCTCATACATTTCCCCTGTTTAAATGAGTAGCAGTAAAATTTGTGAATAAATAATATAGAGCAACTTTGCCCAGTCTGGTGACTTTAATGCATAGGTACCTGAAGAGGATAGAAGGAAGGGAAAGTGACAATGACTATATCATGATAGTACATAATCTGTATCACTTGTACAATGCCATTGCATAATAATTTAGTATCATTGCAATTGTTCTTTTAAAGGTGACAAAGTCTGAAACCACTAATAAATACACCCGTATGCTGCAAGACATATGGGTGTATTAATTAGTGACATGAAACGACCTATATGCATTATCAAAATTATTTCATTTTCCCCTTTTAATTGTCAGAATGACACTGCAGGTTGTGAGAGTTCTGACTTTTTATAAAGACCAGGGTTCAGGGAAGAAAACTAAGTGAGATGCTCCACAGAAGATAAAGAGGAGACAGCAACTTCAAAGCAGTTGCATAAGACATAAGAACATGGCTTGTAAGCCTTGTAGACTTCTGGGGAAGGAAGTTTGAAACTCAGGTCTTTCATTCTATGGGCTCGGATGTGCTGCTCTATAATGGGTTGTTCTTGTATTATAATTAGGAAGACAGTTCAGTATAATTCTTATCACTTTGTAAGATTTCCTTCAAAGATAGAAATCATTATTATTAGAAGATAGGTTGTGCTTCACTATTAGTCTCTATAATACAACCACTATGTACTTAACAGTACTCACCAAATCTAATCTTCCATGACTGAAACTGGTTGGAATTAAATACATTATTGCTCTTCTCTAAACCTTTCCACCAGATCATTATTTACTTGCTTAGGTTTAGAGGAAAAATATTTATGATAAGATTTGCCTGGCACAGTAGTTAACCATCAACCGACTCTTGGATGCTTATAGAGGAACCATAGGATAACTATGATTGGTGAACACATGTTGCACAAAACAATGGTCTTATTTATAATTTGTGGATTATTAAAAAAGCTGTGGTTGAGTTCATCAATTACATAAATCCTGACATGCAAACCACAATGCCTTGGTTTGGGTAACATACTAAGTCAAAATAAAGTCAGCGACATTATGTTTGTTATCACAACGTAACAGTGGTTAATTAAACCATTATTTTCTTAACCCTGTTTTCTCATTTTCCCTGGCTATTGATCATGCTGGTTGATGATAGTGGTTGTAATGCAGCTCATCTGGAGGATATTAGTTTGAAGAAATCTATGAAAACAAGACACATTCTTTTATTTCTACTTCTGCATTATATCAGCTTTCCTTGAGCTGAGGAATTTGCAGTTCCCAGTATTGCCAACCAGCAGAGCCAAAGCCTATTCTGATGGAAGCTATTACCCCGATATATCTGAAGGGCAGCCATTGGGAAACATTGTACTGTAGTAAATTATTTAATTTAATCTACAGTACCTTGGCCTTCTTTATTTTTCTTGCATTACAGCAAATGGTCTACAATTGTATTACAAACAAGGATGTTATCTCTTTGCAATTGCTGAAATAAAATTAAATACATTTTTACATCATATTTTCCCTTAAACAGCCAATTTGCCTTTTGAATTTCCTATGATTTATCTTTGCCCTGAAGGTACACTCCCTTATGGCCATCAGCTTGCCAGTTTGGTTTGTGATCTAGATTGGCCAATAGACCAATGAAACTGAGGGAGGAGTTGTGACATCAGGTATTTGATGGCACATTGACCCAACAGCTACTGCAAGTTATCATTTTTCCAGTCACCAAAGCAATACTTAACACCACAAATTTTATTATTAGGAATAACAACAGAAGAAAATAATCTAACTGACAAAAGAGCTTCTTTGTGTTTTGTGTTTCTCAGTAGCTGTGATGTCCAGAAGAAAGATTCACAAAGAAGATGATTTTGACCTACCAGGTGGAGACGTCTTTAAAAGATCCTTGCAATTGTTTCAGCAACTGGTTGACAAAACAGTGGCTCAGAAAAGGGAGGAAAGATTAGGCCTGCATGTAAAGGATTATGGTAAGGAAGTACTTCATTTGATCTATTGTTCTCTGATGTACATATCTACTTCTTTATTAGTTCATTTTTGGATGGCTGAAGAAGGCAAAATACAATTACAGAGAGGTGGATGGTAGCAAATAAAATGTAACTATGCAGCATAGTGCTCAAGCTGTAACTCTGGAGCCCCACAAACAGAATATTAATAGGACAGTGGTATTACTAATAAAGTATGGCATTTGACTTGGATATGTATGCAACTCTTAGAAATTAGAGAACTGAGCAGAGGGTCATAAATCCTTTGGAATAGGAAATTCCATCAGACTGGATTGCTACAGAATTACCTGAGGTTTAATGCTGATTTTAAAGCATAACAAATTCATTTGAGGGGGACAACAAAAACCTTTCAGCAGTGTTAAATGGAATTTTAAAAAAATTAGCCCTTTTTTGTGTGAGATATACGGGTACCCTACACACTTCTTAAACAGTCTGGCAATTTTTTTATTATGCACTCCAAAGCCAAAGGTTTCTTTTTATACATTTTCAGAATTTCCAAGATTTTTAATAGCAGCATATATTGATAAGATTTGGGGGTTAAAATGAAAATTAAATTTAAAAAGATTAATTGTGGATTTCTACGCAAGATAATCTCTTTTTTTTCTACACATGCTAGAGAGACGTGGTGGTTCACTGGCTAAGGCGCTGAGCTTGTCTATCAGAAAGGTTGGCAGTTCGGCAGTTCAAATCCCTAGCACCGCGTAACGGAGTGAGCTCCCGTTACTTGAAAGCATGTAAAAATGCAAGTAGAAAAATAGAGACGACTTTGGTGGGAAAGTAACAGCATCCCATGGGCCTTCAGCGTTTAGTCATGCCGGCCACATGACCATGGAGACGTCTTCAGACAGCACTGGCTCTTCGGCTTTGTAACAGAGATGAGCACCGTCCCTAGAGCCAGAAATGACTAGCACGTATGTGCAAGAGGAACCTTTACCTTTACACTAGAAGAAAAAATTAAATGATGTGTTAGTCTTTGTGGTTATATTCTGTGAGTGCATTATTTTGTTTTCATTGCAGAAGGAATGGATTATGAGAAATTCTTTGATGCAGTCAAGAGTCTTTTTGGTCCAGATGTGAAAGCTCAAGACGTTAAAACCTTCTATAGGAAGATTAGCAACAACCCAGATATGCGGACAGAATGGTGTGAGGTAAGAGTTACTTTTCTTTTGATAAATCAACTTTTTTGATAATATCATTCCTGACCGATCTGCAAAAATATGGAAAGGCAGAAAGAACAGGAAATGAGGTAGAGAAAGGCATGGGTGGCATAGTAAAAGTTAGAAGTTTCACTGTAATAAAGAAGGAGAAGGAAGGATAAAACCACAATGGCCTGGAAAGGCTTTTCTAAGCGAGAAGAAAAGGAAGAAAGAGAAACTCAAACTGGAGGAGTCTGCCCTAGTAAAAGAAACAGGAAATGTTTATTCTAAATGTTTTGATTAGTGTTATGCAAAAGTTTTGAATTCAGGCTCTGAAATTGGAAACATCCTGTCTCAAATGCAAAACAGCTTTTCACACCAAGACTGTCCTGTTTCAGACTTTGAAGTCTGAGTGTTTTAGATTCGCTTCATTTTACAGTAAATGAGGAACAGCTTTTAGACTGTTTCACATTAAAAAAAAAAAACCTAATCCTCAATACTATAGTTTGATGGTCTGTCCATCTAGACTACCCTATAGTTAAAATTCACTGCTCCCAAGGTGAAAAATGATGCCTTTTGCAAATTTAATCTACATCTTCAGCAAAGAGATAGTCATTCCTTTGATCATTGCATCGAAATGAACTCCAAATTGTTCTAGTCAGCTTCTGCCAAGGAAACAAGCAAAACATCTGAAATCAATTGTTAAGGGAGTTTTACTTTAAAGACTTAAATCAACTCAGCTGGAACTAATCCTGTTTATTTCCTCTTTTGCTTATTTTCCTTTCATTCCAGCAACAAAACAAATACACAGGGACTCAGGCCACTTCCTATGCCCGGGGTGTCAAATTTGTGGCCCGCGCGGGCCAGATGCGTCATACACTGGTCATGCCCCCCCCACCCCCCCGCTTTTCCAGGGGAAAAGTCGCAATATGTTATATGACGACAATGTGACACTGCGAGTTTTACACTCCTGTCCAATGCTATCCTACAGTGCTGAAGTCATCTACATAATATAGTGATGTCAGAATAAGCCCAACTATATTGCTTCAGTAGGATACATATTGCATCTTATTCAATGAATCCATAGATCAGTAATATTTATACAATATTGTAAGAATCTTTTGCTAGTAAAGTTTTCTTCTATTTTCTTATGGATTATGTTTCTTAAGCCCACATCTGTGGTACCCAACTAATAGTGTTACAGTTATAGACTTATCAAACCTGCAGATGTTGATCCCAATTAAATTTTGATTCATTGATAAAGCTTGTTTCATAGAATTATTATTTTTGGCTACACTGTCATCTTTTTAGAAGGTCTTGTGCCTTCAACTGTCTGTAGTTCTGAGTGAGCTATGATATGGTAGAGTAGGCAGTGATTTGAGCTAATAATAGAAAATTGAAGCACGTACAGTTTTGCTAACAGTACAATTTAGGTCATTTTTTGCAGGGTGGTTGAAGTAACTGCTGTTGAAACATCAGCTGAAAATATTTGCACTGGTGAGGCTATTCATTTTTAACCTTTGGTTTTAATAAACAAATAAAATGGATATAGCTTTTGATCAAATGGTTTTTTTCAAGGTAAATCTAAAGTGAATTTTACCCAAAAATATGCGGTACAATAAATGCACTGTGGAAAAATTACAATCCCAGCAGTCACAGTCATGGAGTTCAGCATAATTTAAATAAGACCTAATACTCATGAAAAGACATTTCATCCCAAATATAGTACAGGTAGTCCTCAACTTAGAATAGTTCATTTAGTGACCATTCAAAGTTACAATGGCATTGAAAAAAGTGACTTAAGACTATTTTTCATAGTTACAACATTTGTAAGCATCCCGATGATCATATAATCAAAATTCAGATGCTGAGCAACTAGTTCATACTTATGACCGTTTCTGTGTCCCAAGGTCAAGAGATCACCTTTTGTGACCTTCTGACAAGCAAAGTCAATGGGGAAGCCAAATTTACTTAACAACTGGGTTACTAATTTATCAATTGCAATGATTCACTTAACAACTGTAGCAAGAAAGGTCGTAAAATGGGGCACAACTCGCTTAACAAATGTTTCACTTAACAACATAAATTTTGGGCTCAATTGTGGTCATAAATTGAGGGCTACCTGTATTAATGACATTCTGTAGTGTTCTTTTGAGGTTGTATCAGCCAGTTCACTTCTTTCAGTCAGTTCACTTTAATCTTATAGTTTAGGATCTTCAAATATGGTTTAGAGCAGGGGTGGGAACATTGCTAGAACCGGTTGTTAACATCCTAAGCAGTTCGGATAACCGGTTGTTAGAAGAAATTACTGGCCTAATCCTGTAAGGAAGGCAGGAAGGAAACATTCTGGTGTTGCTTACAGAAACTGCCTCTCTGTTAACCCTTATTACATTCTTGGCAAGACTAGACTTCCTGTCTTAGGAACTTCTCTGGAGTTTTTCTTTCCCCCTTTTGCTGGTACTTTGCTTGTGTGGAATGACCATTCAAAGTTACAATGGCACTGACAAAAGTGGCTTATGACCATTTTTCACACTTACGACTGTTGCAAGCATCCCCACAGTCATGAGAGGCCAGGTGAGGAGATGCGTGACTCGATGTGAGTGATATTGAGTTGGTCACGCCCAGCCAATAACATGACCACCCAGCCACGCCCACCAACAAAGCCACACCTACAGAACTGGTTATTAAAAAAATTCAATCCCACCCCTGGTTTAGAAATTGAAGCTGCTATTTCTGGTTTAGAAAACCATTTAGACAATCATGGATGTTCTCTACAACCAAGATTTGGGGAAAAAAACTAAGTGTGCATTCTGACATCACAACATTCATCCAACCTTTCATATTTGGAAACCAAATTTGTGTCATGGCATTGCAATATATTTTCCTCTACTGACATAAGGTTGCGTAAGAATGAAAGTCATTTTGTATTGGTAGAATACAAATATTAAATAAATGCTGTTGGCTTTGATATTTGGCTTTGATATAATAGATTGAAGCATTCTCAAATGTCTGGAAAAGTTGCTGGATGGGGTTAATAGCATACTTTTTGTGAGTATTTTGCTGCCATGGGAATCAAGGGTACAAGAATAAGATGGTACTAAAAACAAAAACAGTATGCCAGGCCTCCAGAAGTCTGGCATTTCCACTTTTCTGTCTTGCATTAATAACATTTATTAGTGCATTAATAACATTTAGATGTGATAAATATAAAATGTGTTATAATAACTATTAAGTGAAAGCACTGGTGTTTTTATTTTTCACCTTTCTATTGGATTTGCAGCAGGGCAATGTATTTATAATTGTTTATAAAACTGTACAATCAATCAATTTTACTTTTTAGAAGAAATTGTGCTGCTAATGGAATTTTAGAATCTTTCTATGAATTTTGCTATTCCTTTAATATCAGAGCACAATTCTTCATATAATAGTAGGATTAGCATAAATCTGGTCAGATTATCTATCTATCTATCTATCTATCTATCTATCTATCTATCTATCTATCTTTAGGACAGTTAACATATTGATTGAAAGCAATAAGACTGTATAATATATTTGCTATTCAAACATTCAGATGTTAATCTTCCACAAGCCACTATCTTTCAAGCAAAATGGTTTCTTAGTTTAATTCAGATGTCATTTCAACCCATACTTGGGAACAAGATGCATAATGTACTAAAGGTAAAACACACAACACTTTGTACAAATACAATGCACTTTATCCATAAGTCAAGACAGTGTTTATGATATCTCTCTTCCCAAGTTTTATTTACGACCAGACAACTTAGGACACACTGGGTTATTATTTCAGAGACATATCCTTATCTAAACAAAGAAACAGAATGTGCATGGCCAGGCAAAAAAAACAGTGGGAGCGGAGGTGGTATTCAGCAGGTTCTGACCAGTTCTGGAGAACCGGTAGTGGAAATTTTGAGTAGTTCGGAGAACCGGCAAATACCACCTCTGACTGGAGATTTTACAGTATCCTTCCCCTGCCACGCCCACCAAGCCACACCCACAGAACTGGTAGTAAAAAAAGTTTGAATCCCACTACTGAGTGGGAATGGGAGTGACTTCCAATTTCCTATTAGCTTCCCCATTGACTTTTCAATAGGTGGCAGAGAGCATTGGAAATGACAATCGCTTAACCATGGCAGTCCAACAGAACTAAATCGCTTAACCATGGCAGTCCAACAGAACTAAAACAGTCACAACTTATGAAATTTCAATCTCATGGTAGTCTTGGATTCTGAAATTTTAATGCATTCTGCAAGGTAGCCCATTTAAGGTATGTTGATTCAAGAATGGTTGCCTTATGATAGTAAATTTAGTAATTATAAAAAGAAATAGATTGTCAGCGTTCCAGCAAAACTCCATTCTACCCAATAACTCTGAGACAGACATCTCTCAAAGGTTCCTTTTATTTGGATAGTAACTGGAACAACTGTGGAATCCCGAATCTGAAAGTTTTGGGCTTCCTTACACACTAAGTAAAAACTACAAATCCTTTCCCTGCATCCATCATCACATCACATCACATCACATGGCAAAATCACCATCTGTCCCAAGTTAAGACTTTCTTTCACTATGCGCAACATGACCTGATCTTGAGTCAGAAAGAGAATGTTATTATGTCTAACTAGATATACTCCAATATATTCCCCCCTCCCACTTTCCCAGGCTCAATTGTGGCAGCGTGAGAGCATCGGATCTCAATATGGCTTCCAAAACTGACCTAGATATTGAAACACATTGTCTAAACTGGCTTAGGTTTTATTCATGCCATGAACTTTTCCCCCTAATTATCTGTTCTAGAATGTACAGGGTATTAAAATACTTATAGAATTGTAAAGACTCGTCCTTGATCTTTAGACCTATTATCACAACCATTCCTAATAATGATGTTATTTCTCATATAATATCCACATATATTTATTTTTCATGACTATTTAAATTTTCATATCATACATTTTCTGGGTTTAATTTAGATCTTTGGATACTACATGGTAGAAGGTGATATTCTTGCTGCCCAGCTTGATGAAGAAAATATGGTTTTCCTGGTATCCAAAAAGCAACGAATTGCAAAAGCAGGTTTGGTTTTCAATGTTCCATTCCCAAATAAAAGTTCAGCCTCGTTTATTACTATAAGCAAAATAATGTATTCATAGTTCATAGTTACAATGGTTAAACATATTTTTCACATTATTATATGTTGTGTAATATATCTTTTCTTTAATCACGTCTTCTCATCACTTGTTTTATTTGGGATTTTTCCAATCAGAGTGGAATATATGTCAGTTTTATTTTGTTTCCTATTCTTGAAACCTGATGACTATATTCGTACAATATGTTTAACTTGGATATTGAATAGTCTAGGCTCATGCAAAATATTTAAACTTGCAAATGAACTGTGTTTGTACAACATACTGAACAAAAAAAAATCACTAATCAAGCTTAACAACTTGTGCAACTGCATTTGTTAAATGTTCATCTAATCTAGTTAAATATATATAAATATAATAATGGGGCCCATTGTAGACTTTGGAGTTTTCTTAAAATTGGTTTTGAGATGATTCCTTGATGGGTATTTTTTAAACCAAATAGTACTTCAGATTAAATTTTGCTAATATTGCATGGGCAACTCTACTCCAATCTTCTTTGATATCAACAAAATAGGATTGTCAAAATCAATCAATATTCTTATTGTTATTAATAATTTGAATCTAAAGCATTGGGCTTATTTGTTTGCTTGCTTTAAAAATATTTGTTAAAACAGACTAAACCAAACTGGTAATTCAGCAGTCGTGTTAAAACTAAATTCCAAGAAGTCTTTTCCCCTAAATAATGCACTAGAATAGAATAGTCAGTCCAAAATAGTCTGTCATAAATGTATCTTCTTATTTATCTTTACAAGCCGGCAGAAATGAGAACAGAATTCCAAAGATTTGAGGCCACCAATGAGAAAGCCCTTCTCCTGCTATCACCAGCTCTTCCTTCATAAATTGAAGTCCTCCAGATACATTGGACTTCTTCTAAAAGTCTCAGCTAGCAAACAATGAGGAAAAATTCTCTAGAGATTCTCAGTCATCCAGGTCATGGTTGTTTTTCAGGAGGCAACTGGACTTTCTTAGAAGTCCAGTTGCCTCCTGAAGAACCACCATTGGGATGAGGAAAGACTGTACTAAATTAAAGTCTGTCAGAAAACAAGACTCTTAAGTCTGATTTTGGGGCTTCAGCAAGCTTATTCAGATATAGTCAGTTCTTCATATAATGTAACATAAACTGTGTACTATTTAACACTTTGAATTATGTTTGGACATACATGTACGTACAGTATGTATCTGGACAATATATAACATATGCACATAACTGTCACATTCCTAACCATCACTTTTATTATAATCTTCATAAGCATGCCTTATACTTTCACCACCCAAGAGGACATGATACAATCTTGTTTTGTTTCCTGTTGAGGATTTACTTGTTTGATAAGCATTGCAATGTTCTCACAGATGCTTTGCACCCATCGAACAAATCAACGTTTAACTCCATACTTGTACAAAAAAATTGCATAATCTATTCACTGTATCTGTTCACTTTCTTTAAATCAACCGTTCGCTTTCTTGTATTCATACATTTTTAGTAACCTTATAAAGAATTGTCATCTGTTTAATGCATAGCATTTCCTAAATTTTGTTCAATAAATGGCTCAAATAACTGCTTCATAAGCAAGTTAAGGTTATATTTGAACATATTTCCAACTATGCCATTTATAATATAAATGCAAAGTCATATAGAATTTTCAAAATTCTTACATCATTTTTGACTTTCTTTGCATTAGTTTTTTTTCTTGATACTAACATTTCAATCAATCAGAATAGAGCTGGAAGGGACCTTGGAAGTCTTCTAATCCAACCCTTTGCTCAAGCAAGAGATCCTGTACTATTTCAGATAGGTGGCTGTCCAGTCTTCTTAAAAACCTCCAGTGAGGAAGCACCTACAGTTTCTGAAGGCAACCTGTTCCACTGGTTAATTGTCCTCACTGTTAGGAAATTTCTCCTTAATTCCAGGTTGCTTCTCTCCTTGATTAGTTTCCATCCACTGATTCTTGTCTTGCCTTCTGGTGCTTTTCCAAATTTATAGCATTTATTTTAATTCCACTGCTCAACATATTGCCATTCCCACACTTCTCTAAAATACTCCTTGGAGCATTCTGTTGCCTCAATTTCATCCGAAGTCATTTCATAATTTTTATTTTTTAATTCATTCACTGCCCTGGAGACCCTTTGCTTAGTCTTTTTCATCCATGCCCATAGTAATTGTTTATTTTCATCAAAATCGTTCTGCATCTTCTCTGCTTCTTCTAACCATACTATTTTGACTATATTCTTTGCATCTTCTTTCCTGTTTATTTTAGCTCACAGGGTGTGTTGAAACAAATTCATGCTTTCTGACATACAGTAGATAACAGCTTTATTGAGGCTTCTTACAATTTATTCCTCTCCTATTCCAAGTTGCAGTTTCTATGTAACATGGTCAACAGCTGATGGGCCCACAGCCAGACATCATGGTGTAGCCAGCGAAGGTCATGCTTTTTAATAATATAAAGGGTAGATTAGGTTTACTATGTAAACATGTCTGTGTAGTGTGCAGCATCCTCTGGTAATAATAAGGATACAGTGTTGATAATTTTGGGGACATATTTGGTAGTATGGCACATGTGCAACAAAGTCACTTATATCTCAATCAGGATGATATTCATGTTAGGATCTCTTCTCTATATATTACTTTTTAATAGAATGTATTTTTACCATATTCCATTAGCCAGGTGGCACACACAGGTGCTTCATCCATCCATCCATCCATCCATCCATCCATCCATCCATTCCTCCATTTATTCATTCATTCATGTACTGATATGCTTAGGATACCAATATACCCTGTTTCTCCAACAATACGGCCTCCCCCAATAGGAAGTCCCAGCATGTTTTATAGGCATGAAATGAAATTAAGCCCCTCCTCCCAAATTAAGGCCTATATTAAAACATGCGAAATGGGGGGGGCTTGCCGTTAGGAAGTACTTTTGTTGCACACCCGGATATGGTGCTGCCTGCATTGACGCCGATACGAAGTGCCCCACCAATGCCGAGGTCAACATCCAAGCTGTCGCCGCCCGCCCGCCCGAAGATGCAAGGGGGGGGGGAATTAAGTCACCCCCCGAAAAGACGGCCTAGCCATTTTTTCAGGGCTCAAAAAAAAAAAAGACCCAGCCTTATTATGTGAGAAACATGGTATTACATTATTGCAATATAATATGAATACTTGGATTCCCAAACAGTGATTTTGAAAACATTTTGGCTTGTGTGTATACTATTTTTACCTGAATGTAATCAAAATATGTGTCATTGCTCCTAAATCAGTTAATGAAATATCCTCCAGGTTAATTAACTCCCTGCCTTTATATGTATTGACTAATTCCTAGTTTAAATTATCTTTTGTTTATCTTTTTGTAGGAGTCAGGAGAGGTGATGTAATACGATGCATGGTAAAGATACCTCAACTTGATTTTTTGCTAACAGCATCTCAGAAAGGAATGTTGTCTATTTTTTCTGGCCAGGTGATTTTGAAATATTGTTTTCCTTTATTGAATTAAAATCCTGTCTAATGTGGACTGACACTTAAAAAATTGTGAAGGGCATTGTCCTGTCCTTATGTTTGACTTAGAACTTCATAAGAAAGGAATATGATTTCAGAATTTCAGAATCTGAAAATTATTTGCGTTGATATATTATTCTGGTGCAAAGTTATAGAAGCGATATTCATAAAAATAAAAAGCCAGCCATTATAAAAGTTTCACAATCATATTACTAATAAAAGTTCTTAAACTTTGTAAATGTCAGCAGCTCTAGAATCATTAGGAAAACATTAGGAAAATTAGAGGATACCTCCAGGGGTGGGATTCAATTTTTTTAACAACCGGTTCTGTGGGCGTGGCTTAGTTGGTGGGCGTGGCTTGGTGGTCAGTACTATTTTTAGGGCTGTTTCTTATAATGAAAAATTAGGTGAAAAACTCATTAATAAAATAAGGAAAATGTTTTATCAAAGGAACATGTGGATACAATATGTACTGCTCACGAAGTCCCATTATTGATCTGTAGAGTATATTGGAGTAATCTTAATATACAACATACATTTTACTACTATGGATTGGAGCATTCTATTTCCATTAGCAGTAAGACACACACTACCATTTATCTTTTCTTTATAATAGTCTGCAAAAACAATTTCTAAACAAAGATAGACTACTGAAAGTTGCACACAAATAGCAGTCAAGTCCTATAGCTAAACAAAAATGTGTACAATATTTTTAAAGGCAAAAATGCAAACAGCTGTGGTTTTTTTAAAAAAACTAAAATTTTAATCCATAGGGGAAAAGCCGGAAGAAAATATTGTCCAGCTATTACAGGCAGGATTTTTTTAGTGTCATATAGTATAACTTTATTCCTAGTGTATTTTTAAAATTTATATCATTCTATATTAACTATTCTTTCTCCCAAAAATTGTAAATATTTTTAGTTATAAGAACTTCCTTTAAATAATTATCCAATGTTCATAGTTCATAGGAAAAATAATGTAATAAGGGTTAATGGAGAAGCAGTTTCTGTAAGCAACACCAGAATGTTTCCTCCCTGCCTTCCTTACAGGATTAGACCAGTAATTTCTTCTAACAACCAGTTCTTTGAACTGCTTAGAATGTTAACAACCGGTTCCAGCAAATAGGTGCGAACTGGTAGAATTTCACCCCTGGATACCTCACAAAAACAAGACCTCCACACTGTCTGTAAAATACTTCTCTGAAGATATTTTGAAACTGGGATTCCATTTTAAAATAATCCCCTTCCTTGTTATTGTTTATCTTTTGATGATATTTGCAACAGAGAAAAGGTTTTTAATCCTTTGTTATATACTCCTGCTTTTCAACATGAGGTAGGTACCAACATAAGTTAAAATATTCATTTTAATACGTATTCATTAGTAGCAGATAGACACAAAATTAAGGGCTTGTCAATCACTCCTCCACTTTATTTCATCTGCTTTTTCCTCTTCCCCTTTCTAATAATTGTCATCAGAGAATAAAGAATTGTTTGGATTTTTTTTAACGATTGAGTACAGCTTCACGACCTCTTTTCCTCCTGTACTTTAAGTAACTGCAAATGGGTAAGTGAATACTGTGCAAGTTAAGCATCCTTACAGCAAAACAGGCTGATTAAATACAAAAGGGATCAAGATTTCTACATCAATGTTTATGCAGAAGAAGGAATTTTTGGAAGCATAATTTGCATGGAAGATCAGTAAAACCCCTTTCTAATATAGTCATGAAGGGACCTAAAATCCTTCATTCTGGCCATATTATTGGAGAGTAAAATTATTTTGCTGTAACCAGGGTTAGCTGAGCAAACCGTAATGGCCTGATTCCCTGTGTGTGGTGTTAATCATGGTCAACAAATCCAAACAGGTAAATCTAATCATCTCTCTAAGCCCAAAAAAGACACTGTTGCTTCATGTGAGAATTGTGAAAATGAATGAGAATTTCTGCCATATTTTACTTGAGTGGCTACTGTTTCCTTTCTACTTTTTTCTGACTGTGTCTTATTCTTGGTTTTCCAGATGCGAATACTAGCAAGCACCATCATCCCAGTAAGTCTGCATTTCTCTCACATTTGGTTCAGCTAATGAAGCCATTTAATTCATTAAAATGTTTCTACCGGTTTGTCCATCTCTGTAGAACTGGTAGCTCTGAAGAGCAGCGGACATAGAACCATATGTCTGCTGATGTTTTTGCCCACCCGCCCGCCCGGGCTCTTACCTGACCTTTATTTCCTGCTTTTTCAACTTCAGCTGCAGAGCGAGGCACAGCTGCAGTTAAAAAAGCAGGAAAAAAGTACGCTGCTCAGCTGTCCAGGCACCAGGTTGATGACAATTTACAGGCGCGTGCGCAGCTGTGCACGGAAGCTGTCGGATCCCACCCCTGGTTAATACTACTTTATTTCTCAATTTCCTATATAAATTTACATTTTCAGACAAATTATGTCCTTTTCATGTAAGATACGGCATATAATATCTTTAAATTATCCATTCTAAAACCCAGTTATCTTCCAGAAAAAAATGATGGAACTCATAAAAATCAAACTCAGAAAAGTTCCTGAACTTATCTCATTTTTCTGATATCTGACTATTCGTGATAATTAATATCACTTCCAAACTCATCCAATTTAGAATTTGCCCAAAGGATTACAAGACTTGATCCCAACCTTGCCCTCAAGGATAACAGTACCCTACCAATACATTATTTGGTGTCCATCAAGTTGCCAGGCTGATCTTATTTTATTACATTATTTTAACTTACAAAACTATGGTGAGCAAGCATGCTCAAATCAAAGTATTTGTCTGAAGCATAATAACTCAAGGTATACTGAGGAAAACCATACTGGGAGGCTACAACCAGTCCTTTGTTTGCCATTGAGTATAAGGCTATTTTGAGCAACACTTTTCATGATAGCCATTTTATGAGATTTCCCATAACAAGTTCTAAAGATGCAAAGTGTATCCACTGTTTTAAAAAGATTGGAGATGTATGGACAAAACAACTAACTTGCTGAAAGCTCATTTAGAATTTTAACCAAATAAAGACTTCAGATGGGGTTTGGAAACAAAATGGGATAACATGTTCTTACAGTAGCAAGCTTTGGTTCACATCCTGGTTACCATATCCCTATCTTATTGAAGTTTCCAAATAAACATTTAAAATGGTTCTATAAATAATATACAATAGTCAATTGGGGTTTATTTTACCACATTTCCAGGTCTGCTTGACATCGGAATGGGACAATTTGCTGCAGGCAGTTCTTTCTTCTTATATATAAATTACATTTGAAAGTTCTCTGAACATCAGTTATAATTAAGGCGGTTGATTAAAGAAGTTTATTTTGCCAATATTTCTTTTTCATCAGGACAGTTCCTGGATCACTGGATGTGACTACCTTGGTCAACTGAAGCGTGTTGTTGGTGTGACAGAAAGAACTATCATCATATGGGATTATAAAACACAAGGGAGTGCCCTGGTATGACACTTAGGGATGGGTATGTAGTAAACATGACATTAGTAAATCAACACATGTAAATGCAAATTCATTCAAGGTATCTCTCTTTGGTGTTCCTGTCAGCTTTCAAGCTCAAAAAGAAACATTGATAGAGTAATTGATATTGTAACCCTTTGGCATGCACAGAATACCTAATTTCTCTAAAAGTTCAATATAAGGAGGAAACTCTATCCCGCATTACAGGACAGTATTGACATTGAAAATGGCCCCCAAAGTTGAGATTTTCCCCATTTCCCATTATGTGTAACAATAAAATTGTCTTCAAGTCAAACTAACCCCAAGTACTGCGTGGTAGCAATATAGCAGTGACTTTCCTTTTTTTTTTTTACTTCTCATTTCTTACCTATAAACCTGGGATTCCCTGGAGATCTTCAATTTAAATACCAATCAAGTCTAACCTTGTTTAGCTTCCAAGCCAAGATATAATCCACCATCCTCTAAAACGTCCTTTGGGTAGATTCAGTAATGTTGTGATACGATCATACCATTTTACTATTGACCTCACCCCTTTCCTAAGAGGTCTGTAGGGCGCGTGCATAAGCGCACCAACGTGCCTACCGTCCCTGTCACATTGTTTCTTTTATTTTTTTATTTTTCTTATATGTATCCATGTATTCATAACTATGTTTTTACTTATACCTATTATCTTGTAAGCAATTGACAAACCAAACCAAATAAACAAACAAACAAACAAATAAACAAATAAATATTACTGCTCTAAATTGTTTTTTGTTGTTTATGGCACTTGGGTTATACATTCCAGAACATAGTTAGAAATGGACGCTAGAATATTCTTTTGGGCCTGAATAATTAATTGCATCTTCTATTTTATCAGCTCAGATTAGTATTAGCCACATATCCTACTCACCTTCAGACTATTTTAATTCACCCCACATGTGCTGCTATAGCTCAAAAATTGGTTCAAAATTCCATACTGATTATTTTACATCAGGCTTATTTTTTTAAAGTAGCTGCTTTTAAATCTTACATTTTTTAAAAAATACCACTAGTAGTTATCTTTTCAGACCAAGTACGATTTTAATTATCTTCCAGTTGTCAATTGAAACCACAGTGCTATTTTTGGGCTGTTTCTTATAATGAAAAATTAGCTGAAAAATTCATTAATAAAATAAAGAAAATGTTTTATCAAAGGAACTAGTGGATACAGTATCTACTGCTCACGAAGTCCTGTTATTGATCTGTAGAGTATATTGGAGTAGTCTTAATATACAGGATACATTTTACTACTATGGATTGGAGCATTCTATTTCCATTAGCAGTAAGACACACACTACTATTTATCTTTTCTTTATAAAAGTCTGCAAAAACAATTTCTAAACAAAGATAGACTACTGAAAGTTGCACACAAATAGCAGTCAAGTCCTATAGCTAAACAAAAATGTGTACAATATTTTTAAAGGCAAAAAAGCAAACAGCTGTGGTTTTTTTTAAAAAAACTAAAATTTTAATCCATAGGGGAAAAGCCAGAAGAAAATATTGTCCAGCTATTACAGGCAGGATTTTTTTAGTGTCATATATTTCTGTTAAACGTGTAGCTTTATTCCTAGTGTAGTTTTAAAATTTATATCATTCTATATCAACTCTTCTTTCTCCCCAAAATTGTAAATATTTTTAGTCATGAGAACTTCCTTTAAATAATTATCCAATGTTCATAGTTCATAGGAAAAATAATGAAGATGGATGAAGATATCATTTTGGAACGAAGTAAATACAATTTAAGGATTGAAACTGAGTCAAGAGAATTGTGTGACATTTCATCTAGTCTTTACGCAAAGTTCTGAAACCAATTACTGTTTTCAGTAAACTAATAAGATAAATGCTAAAGCATATAATGAACGATTGCTTGTTTTTGTAGGATAATTGCTGTATAATCAAACCCATGGAACATTGCCTCCTCTCTGTTTGTGCCATTCCTCACCCATCCGAACTTCTAGTGAAGGATGACATCTTGCTGGGGGATGATGGTGGATTTGTTACTTTGTTTACACTTACCAGTGATGACTTTGGTCTAAAACAAACTAAATCTAAAAAGAAGCTGAACATGTTGATAATAAATTCTAAAAAATTCAAAAGGTGAGTTCATAATCTCTGAAAATTCCCATTTTTGAAATTTTTAATTTCAAAATTATAATTTTTAAAATGAGGTTGTGAAAGAAAACAATTATGCTTAATAGTACTGTGTAGACCTGTAATGGCGCGCCAGAAGTGACACGCAGAGCCATTTCTGCCGGCACACAAGCCGTCGCCTGGAACAGACCCACTGCGCATGCGCATGTGACCCCCGCCAGCCAGCTGATTGTTGGGTATCTGCCACGCATGCGTGAGGGGAGATGCGCTCACAGGAGACACATGCACATGCGTAGGGCGGAAAGTGCACAGGAGGGTCATGCACACATACACAGAGGCGTGCAGCATGGGGTCACATGCACATGCACAGAAGCACACAGTGCACGCATGGGGTTTGCATGTGCATTCACAGCGGTGTGCGTGCATTGCATTAAGGGTGCCAGGTGCACATGCACAATTTCCAGCACGCGATGATGAAAAAGTTAGCCATCGTTGGTGGAGACAAATAAGTTGGAATTTTCAGGATAAATTTTCTACTTCAAAGATTCGATTTTAAAGTGCTTATAATGAAGGTTTCAACTAGTCAGCACTGCTATTTCTAAGAATATTCTATTCAATATTCTATTCAATACCATAACCTAAATTTAATGTTATTGTATATGACCTTCAGCTATCACAGTTAAGTATTCCAACTCTGGTAACTAATATAAGGATTTTTTCCGCCCTGAAATAAATACATGTAGAATATAAGAGTCATTCTAGGTCTGAGCAAATGTTCAGCACATTTGGGAATTTCAGAAGACATCAAGAGGCTAGCTCTTTTTTATTATTTCTCTCAAGCAACTGGAAATTAAGGATGTTGTTTTTATGGCATTGAGGCAATGGAAACCATCATGATTATTGATAGCCCTATTCCCCAACTATTTATCTAGTTCCCATTTAAATTCCCTAAACTAATAGGAAATCTCAATTTTAGCGGCAATAAATTCCATATATTAAATCCTGCATCATTAGAAGAACAATTAAATAATACACACTGCAGCTACAGCAGACAAGCCTTTTCCATGTAAAAAGAGGGGAACAAGAAAATATATTCATGAAGATGCTATAAAGAATATCTAGCTAATATTGTCTACAGTGAGTTATGGGAACACATCTATAAATATGGCATAGCCTGTTTAATAGAAATATAGTTTAAATGGCCATTAAAAAAGAAAAAAGATGCTATATAACATCACCATTTCCACTGTCTAACATCTCAAATACAAATCATGCTAAACTAACTTTGTCTTATTTTTTTTATAGATTTACTAGCTTAATAAATCAGGGAATGCCTTAGATATAGTATTCTTGGATCTCAGCAAAGTCTTCAGTGGAACATATTGACTCTCAATTGTCCTCTAGAGCAGGGATGTCAAACTCAATTTCATTGAGGGCTGCATCAGGGTTGTGTTTGATCTCGGGGGGGCGGGGGCAGGGTAGGTGTGGCCAGCTCAACATCACTCATGTCGGGGGAACCTGTGATGGCCAAGTGCTAAGGCAGGACTTCCCTCAGACCCTTCCTCCCTCTCATTATAATCTCCTTTCTATCTTCCTCCATTTTCACTGGCAGAGGAATCACGAGCCGGTCCTTTGCTGTTTTCAGGGCAGGCCAGATTTAAACACTCTATGGGCTAGATCTGGCCCATGGGCCTTGAGTTTGACCCTCTTGCTCTAAAGGAAGACCTTATACTGGTTCCTGAGTTCCATTGTACCTGCTGATACTGTGCTGTTTGGATCAGAGTCTTTGCTAAATGGTTTTTTTTCTCACTTCTCTATCCTTTCTGGATAATTTTAGCTGTCTTGCCCAACAGCCTCTTCTCTTCTCTTCTCTTCTCTTCTCTTCTCTTCTCTTCTCTTCT